TGAAAAGATGTCTCAGAACTTGGTAAAAATATAAATTCCTAAGCATTACTTTTGTTTTTAATACCAGTTAAAGTATTAGTCCTACTTACAACCTTTATCCAAGCTAATTACACTTTACTCTCAGCTGGTCTAGTCAAGTTTATGCTGTAGTGTGATAAGTTAAAATCTTGAGAGCTTTAGGTAATAACGTTTATTTCTTCCTTGGGCTTCATGTTCATTAAGTGTTGGCTTAAGCATCATTTCCCAATTTCTCCCTCTGAAACCTAAGCTGATGATGTATCATGTGTTCTATTACTTGGTACCTATCAAAGAGAGGAAAACACATGGACTCACATATACAGGCTTTCAGTAGGAAATGGAGTACAAATCACCCACTCTCATGTTACTTACTGAAGCACAAAAACACATCTAGTTTTAAAGGGGGTTGATATAGAAACACAACTATAGTTTGTATCAGAGGGAGAATAGGGAGTTCTTTTTAATTCCTCTGACAAACACAACTTGATGGCTAGTCTACATGGAGATGATTATTTTTTTTGTCAGTCATGGAGCTGGAACTCTGGGCATGGATGTCCCTCAGCAATTCAGCACAAGGCTTGTATGCTACTACTTGAGCCACAGAACCAGTTCTGGATTTTTCTACTTATGTGGTGCTGAAGAATTGAACCTAGGGCCTCATGCATGCAAGGCAAACACTCTATCACTGAGTGACCTTCCCAGCTCCTATTTATTTATTTTTAAATTATGATTATACCACATTAGAAAATACTGATATGCAATATCTGGTGGCCAAAGAAGACAGAGTTTTTTGTTTGTTTGTTTGTTTGTTTGTTTCTTGCTGACTATATCAATTTGTTCTGTATTTTTGGTTTAAACATAGAATTCGTTAGTTTGGTGGATAAATGTGGGTCCTGTCAAATAAGGAAATCTATGCTTACAAGTTTGCTTCTAGAAATATCAAAGATTTTTGTTGTTGGTACTGGGGGTTGAACTCAGAGTCTTACACTTATTACCTTGTTGTATTTACTTTAGCCTTTTTCTACCTTTGAGCTACACCCTAACTCATTTTGCCTTGGTGAGTGTGTGTGTGTGTGTGTGTGTGTGTGTGTGTGTGTGTGTGTGTGTGTGCCAGTATTGAGGTTTGAACTGAAGGCCTAAGCACTGTCCCTTAGTTTTTTCACTCCAGGCTGGCACTCTACCACCTGAGCCACAACTCCACTTCAACTACCTTTTATCAGTCATTGTTATACAAATCTCAGAACAAAATGGTTAAAATGAAGAAAACCTGATTTCTTTTAAGGATTACTTTTCTTTAAAAACCTATCAAATTTTGGGCTGGGAAGGTGGCTCAGTGGTAGAGCGCTTGCCTTTCATGCATGAGGACCTGGGTTTGATTCCTCAGCACCACATAAGCAAAAAGAAAAAAGCCGGAAGTGGCACTGTGGCTCAAGTGGTAGAGTGCTAGCCTTGAGCTGAAGAGCCCCCCCAAAAAAAAAACTATCAAATTTTATCAAATTATTTTCCTCACATAAGTGATGCATTTATGCCAAGAGCTGGTTCAGTTGTGTTTTTCTTTACCCAAATATAAGCAAAATATCACATTGCCTCAACATATAATAACCATAATTATGTCTACAAAAGAGAATTACAAGGTTGGTAGGGATGTGGTCTTATCCATTTTCCTTTTCAAAAAAAGATTTTCTCTGATAAGTATAACTGAGAATAAGTTATTAAGTAGAAGATATTTCTGAAAAAGTCAGACAATTTGGACAAAACGTGAGCATTATTTTCAGGAAGTGCCAAAAATTTCAGTGGTTTCTTGCCAGCATAACAGAGACCTGGAGTGAAAATGCTCTTGTCTCAAATCAATTTAATTTTCAGATATTCACTGTCTCATTTCCTAGATTCACTTTTTTTTTTTTTACTGAGTTTTGATTTTCCTGTCTGGCAATGTATACCATATTTTAAAATTTTATTGAATATATTTTCATAAGAGAGATGAAGCGATACTATTCAAAATTGTTTTATGCACTCCCGTTTTGCCATTACTTCCCATAGTAAGTATAAATCAACACAGTGAGAATATAAAAGATAGCTCCACACATGCAGTTCCATACCACTGGAATTATAAGAATGCTAAAATGTATCACCTGTTTTTCCTTCTGAAATTTCTTCTTTTTTTTTTTTTTTTTTTTTTTCTGGTCTGGGGTCTGAACTCTGGGCCTGGGTGCTGTCCCTCAGCTCCTCAGCTCAAGGCTAGCACTCTACCACTTGAGCCACAGCACCACTTCCGGCTTTTTTCTTTTTTGCTTATGTGGTGCTGAAGAATTGAACCCAGGGCCTCATGCATGAAAGGCAAGGCAAGCGCTCTACCACTGAGCCACCTTCCCAGCCCTCCTTCTGAAATTTCTAGTTTACCTACAGATGAGTTTATAAACGTGCATGGACTTTTAATAGCACATAAACTCACTTCCTTAGAAGCAAGGTTTGTAAAACATGATGCCTATACAAAGTCCCATATTTATTTCCTTTTTAAACTCCTAGTCTCCGTTTTATTAGCATATCATTTGAAAATTATTTTTATTAATGTGTATTAGTTATACACAATAATGAGTGGCATTGTGATATTTTTACACATGTAAATCATGTTCTTTGATCAGCCTGTGTTTATTTCAATAGGTATCTATACCACATTAACAACCTCTAACCTAACTTCTCTCCGTTATTTAGACTTCAATATCTACACGACACCTCTACTAGGATTTGAAAAAAAAAATAATCAATTTACCAGGTATAGAATAGGGCTCTTAAATGATTCTCTCCAAACCTATACCACTTCCAAAGACTGGAATCTTATGATACTATTCATCTACAAGCTCAAACCTAAGAAACAATTGAAACCTCTCTTCTGCCATATATCCAATACATCAACAATGTTGCCTTTGGTCTCAAAAGTACACCTGGAGACTGGCAACTTCCCTCTATTTGTGCTGCTTTTACCTTTGTCTAAGCATCTATCATTTAAACTCTCACTTTTTGTTACTTCTTCCCTTGTTTCTACTCTGAAAACAATTATCTTTTCCCAGTGTTTAGAGAAACCTTTTCTGAAAACAAACCAGGTCTGGGAACACCCCCAAAAGTCTCCTGTTTCATTTAGAATCAAGGTCAATGTCCTCATACAGCCTTCAAGGCCTGATGTGGTCCGTTCTCAAGCTCCTGGAAGCCTAACTTGTGTATTTTACGGTAGTCACATTGGCTTTTAGGATGTCCTTTCCATGTCCTGAGATCATTCTTGTCTTTGAGTTCTTTTGTATTTATGATTTCTTTTAGTACTTGTGTGACTTGTCATTATTTAATAATCTTTTTGAATTTCCTAACTTAATAGTCTCTCCTGAATCCTGCTCTAACTCTTTTTATTTCCTTCACTCTCTGATGGCCTATTGTATGTGTGTTTTTTTTAATCAGCATTTTCTTCAGTTAGGATGCATGTTCCATGAATGTGGGAACCTTGAATGGACCATGATCCTAAAATACACACAATAGGCAGAGGTCAACATTTGATGCATCCTCTAGTAAGCTCTATGCACTGCAAAATGCTATACCCTGAAGAAGTAACATGACCTCTAAGAAAGGAAATATTGGTCACTTAATCTCTATGACACTCTGAAAGAAGAAAAATCTACATAGGAAACTTAGCCTTCAGACTTTTCTCTGCTAGGAGCCATTTGAACCTTCACAGCATCAAATTGTGAGCCATGCAAAATTATCAATAGATGACTATGGACAGCTGATATACAGCATAGAAAGAGCATAGGTGTCTGCCCCATCATGTGGTAGATGGCTTGGGGGGCCTCAGACAGCCCAGTGGTCCGACATTTTCCAGCCTTGAGAGTGGTAAGAGTTTAACTGAGTTTCACTGAGCGGAAGTCCATAAGGTTTCTAGACATACTTGTCCCACTGAGGGAAAGTCAGTGGAAGAAAACTGGTACACTGAGTAATTTCCTTTCAGCCGCTAATCAATATGTAGGTTAAAACTTAAGAGAAGTAATTATGGTTATTTACTTATTTTCAGTATTAATAAAAATTAAATGAGTAGTCTACTAAAAATTGAACACAAGCTCAGTATAAATCCAATCTCAGTAAAGTTTAAAGTTTAGCTGTGTTATATTGCTGGAGTTTACATCTACAGTTTATATCTCTGCCTTAGGTATTTCATCACTGGGAACATTTGTAAAAGTATATATGCTGGATTTATGGGCTCTAGCCTCTGATTAATGAATCATTATCTAGTACTTGATAGGCAAGTTATAGTTATTTAATGAAGGCAGAGAGAGAGAGAGAAGAGAAAGAGAAGAGAGAGAGCTAGATAGATATAGATTATACCGTGCCTTAAAATCAATTAAATTTATTAGTGGGATCAATTCTACCACAAGTTAATAGTTAAAGTAGTCACTTCAAAACACTTGTTTACTCTCATTTTTCTTGGAGGCCATTGGACAGGAAATCATGGCAAAGATTTCCTGTAAAAATACGACAGCCTATTCAGAGACTTCCATTGTAGCATGACAGTAATGTTTGCCTAAACATAACTGTTGTCCCTAGAAGGTTACTATTTCAGACTTAGCTGTAGAAGACTTGGTTGAGTGTTCCTTCCTCTGAGAAAATTTCACTCTCATTAGTAACCATTTCTACCTAAATTTCCAGCTGGTTTCACATAACTACTAAGTACCAAGACTGCATATAAGAGTCCCCTGCTGAAGCAGCCTCTTCTTTGGTAACATAAGACCAACATTTGCTTCTATAGAAATGTATAAATTCTAGCTGGTTCTAATTTAAGAATTTAGCAGGCTAAATTATAATTGTATCATCTCTCCAGGGAGCTAAAAACAGAAAGTTAAGATGACGTTCCAATCTCAACTGCTTCCACTGTGTCAAAAAGACATGCTTTCTATTCAGAAAGCATATGGCTGGATATGATTAACATAATCTTAGTGTCCTACCTCTCGGATGGCTGTACAAAACTCACTCTGAAGCACCTTTTTGAGGGACTGTAGCTTGTGTACTGGTACTTCTCCAGATTCCTGTAGCTTTTCCAGTAATTCAATTGCTCTTGCAACATCTGAATGAATAAAAAAAAATCAAAATGGAAAGACAGGCTTAATTATGTCACATCAGCAAAACACCATTATTCCAGCTGAGGGTCTTTTTGCTTTTGCTTATTCTCAATCTCTACAATAGTCAATGGTATCTTTTCCAACTACTGACTAATTATTCCCTCTGAAAATAAAACATAGAAAATTAATTGCAAAATCAGAATATATAAATCATAGCTTCAAATGGTTTCATTTTTTGGCAAAAGGTCACTTTAGTCTGTTCAGCATATTTTTACTTGATACACTTTTGACAGCATTTCATAGGTATTATTTCTGCCAAAAAATTGGTTTGAATCAAGAAAGGAGAAGAAAAATGTCTATTATTTATTCTGATCCCCAAATAACCAAATAATTTCTGTCAATTTTACCTCTGAGGTACTTTCTGTCAGTTTGATGTTGCTTTTCCCATATGATATTTATCACAGCTGCAATATCACATTGAGTAATATGATGATTTGATTGATGTGCACTTCCTTCACCTGTCTGTATGTTCTTTGAAGTATGAATTTAACTTGCTTGTTTGTCATTACATCTCTAGAGTCTGGTGTAATACAAGGAACATGTATTTGATGAAGAGATAAATTAATAGATCCTCTCCATTTTACAACTACTGCATTATTCCACATCCTTTTAAACTCTCCTCCATCCAACTGGAATCCATTCTAGTATAGTTTTTGTATAGCCCACAACGTTTTCTCCACAAAACAAAAATCTGATGACCTCTCTTTTACAAGAGAATTTAACATCAAAGATCAATATGGCAAGAGGCATATATGACTATAGCCATGTATATTCATGGCTATAGTCGTGAATATTGAAAGTCTAAGAATTATTTCATATTACTATGAAAAATAATATGAAAAAAATACATTTCAAAATATGGATAGAGCTGATAAGGTAGAGCAGTTGCTTAGTGTTTATGAGGCTCCGGGTTCAATCTCTAATGGCAATCAGACAAACACATACAGGAATCTCTTCTACCCTGCTGCCTCAGTAAACACTTTACTGAAAAGTCACATACACATATATCTTGTTGGATATGAAGTTTCAATTTTTGATGGTTAACTTAAGACCCTAGCTATACTATACATCCTTCCATCTGTCTATTCAATAATTTGAGCTCCAAATTTACTGACTCTATGTGTAATAAGAATAACACACTTGCTTTAGGATTCAGGAGATTCAATAAAAAGCAAAACAAAAAAAAACAACAGAAACAAACAAACAAAACAAGGTAAAACAGAAAACAGAACAGCAATGCCACCAAATAAAATAGGAACACTTCAGAATTTGTATGGTCTTAGTATAGGTGTATGTGTCTAACTAAAGAAAATGACCGGAAAGTGACTTTATAGAATCTCTCCCTGATGTCGTTATTTTGATTGCCAATTGTAGTCTAAAGTAGAATAAATCAAGAAATCAATATGGCTCTGTCAAACTCCCAAGATTTGTCTTCTAGTACATAAACTGGAAGACAACATAGTCAATTGGACAGCACTAGTCACATCTAAAATCAATAAGGTACCAAGCTGAGACCTTGTGCATTTCCAACTGCATAAAATACTCTACCCAAATGCCCCACAGGTACAAAGAACTCTCAATATGTTTAAAACTGAGCTCATTTATTTTCCCCTCTGAAACCAGCTCTGCTCTCCCTATATTCTATCTTTCCATTAATAGTATCCCGAAGCAGCCTGCCTTCCAAGCTAGACCACGACATCATCTTTCACACTCACCCCCACACGCAGTTAGTCAGCAAGCGCTGTACATTTTGGGGGGGGGAACTAAAAAACACCTTTTGAAGGGAGCTCCTTCAATTTATTATTTCAGGGAAGCCTATATCATTCCTCACTTGTAGTGCTGGAATATGTCCTGACGGATCTCCTTTCCTTTTTCAATCCATCCTCCACATTGCTTCTAGCATAGTCTTCCTGAACCACCAATCTAATTATTATCCTCTTATTCATTAAACCTCACTGACATCTCACTCCTTCATTATAGGATAAAGTTCCCACCAATTAAAATTGCTTCAAAGGCCTTTAGAAGGTCATGCTTTCCCTCATCACTTGGCACCTCCCTTTGCCCATGCTCTGCTTTGCAAATGCAATTTGTTGTTGGTCCTAGCATAGGTCACAGAATTCCAGACCTCTTCAGTGTGATATAGAGTTGTCCCTTTTATCTGGAATGTAATGGACTCATCTCTGTTCCTGGCATAGGAGGGAGACACTGACAGAAGACACTGCCCTTTCTCTGTCTTTCATGGGTGTGCAGGATTGTGCTTTGCACAATGCTGTGCATTGCAGATGGAACGTGGACTTAGAACAAAGGCAAGTAGCATCATGCAGGAGGCCAGAGAAGACCTCTTGGTGGAAGCAGAAGCTAAGCATATTTCTAGGTAAGATGTGAAATTGAAGAAAACGAGAATGTCTCAGGTAAAGTGAATACGTGGAGATAGAAGGTTCTGTAAAAGAGTGTGTCTCATTCAAAAACACGGAGTGGAATTCAGTTTGGCTACAGTTAAAGCCAGGTATGGAGTAGCAAGAGATAGATTTTAAAAAACACATCATATATGGTGTTTTTAGACTGTACATTTCTCTAGTCATCTTTTCATTAATTGTTCTACACAGATTTAATCACTATCAGGTCTTTATTCCCATTTTTTTACTCATCTATTGTAATAATTATTTCTCTCTGGCATAACTGTTTTACTCACTTGTTCCTTCCTTCATTCCTGCAAATGTGTATTTATTAAGTTATCAGGAACCATGCTTTACCATTCTATCCACAGTTGGTTGTTCAGTACCTGACACATGAAAAGTGTTTAGAGCACATTTGATGAATGAATGGTTAATTAATTCATGAGACTGACTCAGAAAGGCAAATTTTAGAGGTCTGTGTCTTCAGAGATCCATACATTTTCACGAGTCTAGACCACCAGATCACCATTTGCATTGGTAAACTTACTTGGGTCTCCTGTGGGAGAGAGTAACAAGTTGATCTTACATGCTGAGAGGTACTACAGACAAGGGACTGAGTTCACAAAAATTGAAAAGGACACCAATTTTAATATTAAATCATCCCTACCCTACACTATGCACTGACAAAGCTATTAATTCTTAAGCCCCACCCCTAAACATAGTAACCTAGAGTACATGCAAGAGGTTCTCAACCTTGGTTACTTATTAGAATTACTTTGAAACTTAAAAAAAAATAATCACAGATGCCTGGGTGAGTCATACCCAAGGATTCTAATGTGATTGCATGTGGTAGAAGATGGGTATGAGGCTAAAGTGGAACTGAGGTTGAAACCCTGATCTGGTCAGTATGGATGATTTGAAAGTTTCTGAGTGCTTCTAATGTGTAGGGCTAAGAACTTCTGCTACAGGATAATGGTTTTACTACACAAATGTGCAAAAGAATCACGCGGGAGAGCTTCCTGAGATGCAGGCTCCTAAAGCGTAGATCCCTTTAAAAAAATATGCTCAGAGTAATTCTGTAATTGTTGGTTCACAGATCTCCAAAGGAAAAATTGAACAAAATGATCTTTTAAGATTTTTCATCTCAGCTTTCCTGGACCATTTGTGCTGTATTATTACTCAATGCAGTATGTTTAAAAGGATGCTGAATGTGATTCTTCTAAGCATCTCAGAATGATTGCTAAAAGCCTGTGGATGAAAGTGGTCGATGTTAATACCATCCCATTCTACAATGAAGGTAAGAGATGATGGTCTAAGGCCAGCTGGCTCAAAACATGAAATTCTATCTTAAAAATAAGTCAAAAACAAGAAGGGTGGCTAATGTGGTATAGTACTTGCCTAACAAGCCCAAAGCCCTGAGTTTAAACCATGGTGCTACCAAAGAAAACCAAAAACGAAAAACAAAACCAACACACACACACACACACACACACACACACACCAAAACAAAACAACTAATTTAATTAAATTACTTATACCATAGGTCTTCTCCAGGCCGTGGAAGTCTCTGCCTAGGCATCCAACTATCTGTAACATCCTTAGAAGTCTAATTGGTAGAAGCTATGACCCCACAGCTCTTGTATTCTGCTTGTGTGCAGTCCTAATAATTCATGGATGTCGCCCAGGCCTGTCACCTGGATTCCCCACAGTAGCACATGAAGTGGCACGTATGGACCCACTGGAGTGGCAGCTAGAGTAGCTGAGTTCCGCTGAGCTAGAATGTGACAGCAGAGGTCAGCCAGTCAGTGGAGGATGTCCTGGGTCTCCTAGATCTCCGAACCTATGACAAGAGCAATAACCTTGGAGATCTCTGAAAATAAATTCCTTCCATAATTTTTCCCCGTTAATTTGATGATTACCACCCTATCCGCTGTATTCTCTCCCAGTTGTTGTTCTGATGGTGGTGGACAAATTTCAAATTTACTAAAAATCTTGTTATTCTGCTTTGCCATGAGTGATAAATCCTACATTTCAATCACTTACTTGCTATCATAGCTCATATATGTGGACAAAAGCAGTCATGAAGTAACCTACGTGTGTGCTGTCTAGTTTTTCTGCTACATTTCTTAATTCATTGCAGTTAAGTTCTGGCACTAAGCCCTAGGATTTGGGAATTATTCCATTCACTTTTTGACAACTGGAAAATAAGGGTGGTCTTCGCTCCAGTTTGGAATCCCTTATTTCTTCATTAACATTTCATTGGATTGTCCTTTAAGACCTGTATTTCTATCAATATATTTATAAGGACCATATCAATCATCTCTGAGAAATTCCAAACTTTCCCTCGCTGTCTGCTCTTTCACCAGAATTACCCATTGTTTGCATCAATACAGATTTTTGCTAACATTAAAGAAACTCTTCCTTCCTCTCTCTGCAAATTACCAAGTTCCAAAGCTTTGTTTACATTTTCAAATATGTGTCATGGCAACAGCCTCAATTTTAAGGTATTGATTTTCTGTTAGTAGGATTTCCTGTTTTGTTTTGCTTTT